ACGACTGTGGCTTGCAGGACTTTTCCTTGAGATTTTTCTGGAAGCATAATGCCTCCTTTGGTTACAGTTTCAGCGGCACTCCTTTCCACCAATACTCGGTCAAAGAGGGGAAGAAACTTTCGAAATGCCTGTCCTGCCTGTAAAGAGAAGCCTTTTTATTTGTAGCAAAATTCAGTGGCGGCTTAGACGCTGCATTTCAAACGACACAGTCTTTCTTTTTGAGGTAACCAGCAAACTGACTATAATGCAAGAATCTCATTTGTATGTTCCGCCCTTGCCTCCACATTTCGTTTCCCATCCTTCATTAGGGGTCGTAGTTGCTCCCCTGGATAGTAGTAGCTACATCAGCTTTAAGGGCAACTTAACCTATTCCAAGGTCAAATATTTTACTCTCGCAGGTTTTGTTATGGAGACTTTCAGGAAACGAACAATTTCTCTGCCTGGGGCCATGCTCCTTCGCTTAGTCAGAGGCTACTACACACCTACAAAGACCCAGCAAGAAATTAATCGGACGCCCCGCGTGCCTGGGGTTTCCGCCCCCTTCAACACGCGTGTGCTGCACGAGGACACGCACACGAAGAGCGCTTGGGGTTGGGGAGGGCCAACTGGGCCCTCGCCATTCGCCTGGGGCGACCTCTCCTTAGGATTTCCTTTCCCCAGGGTCTAGGTGAGCACCGAGCACTAAGTGACCCTGTCCCTCCGGCCAGGCCCCAACCCAATGAGGCTGTCCGGACAGCTCTTGCGCCTAAGACCGACTCAGCCACGCCGGCCCGCAACACAGCGGGACTCACCATGACGCCTGGGTGGCCGCAGCAAGTACTCCTCTCACGCCGCGCCGCTGCAAGGAGAGACCCGCAATCGGATTCAGAAACACGTGAACATGGGAAAAGGCCGGCCAGCGCGCAGGCGCGCTCGCCCAGTCAGGCCCCGCCCCGCCCCGCCAGGGGGCGGCCGCACCGACGCGGGCAGCGATTGGTCCCGAGGGCGCTGCGCAGGCGGGTGACGCCAGGACGGAGAGGCGGAAGAATTGAGCAGTTCTTTCTAGGCTTTTCTAGGCCGCCCGAAGAGGTGAAAGGACAATCCTTTACCCCCTCCCCCGGAAATGACGCAACTTAGCCCTTGACCCGCGCAGAGCGCGGCTCTTTCTGGAAAGTTCTGGAACCGAGCGCGGCCCGGGAACTAGCTTGGTGAGATGCTGCCGGCTGCGGCCGCTGGCCTGGCCCTGCGCGGGCAGGGAGGGGCGGGGCGAGCGCGCGGCGCGTACAGATTGCGGGGCCTGCGCAGGGGGAGGGAGGCGGGAGCGGGCCGCACATGTGGTGCGGCGGAGGGAGGGGACACGGCCTCATTGCTGTGCGAGCCCTGCCCTCTGTCCTCACTCGCCGCAGACGGCCTGTTTCTCCGCTTGCACGCCCGCCGGCCGCCCCGCAGGTACCCTGTTGCTCCACGGCGCCTCGCCCGGACGCCCCCATCGCCCACGCCCGTCTCCCTCGCTGCCTCCCGCCCTGCGTGCCGCCCGTGGGGCAGGAGCCGGGGCTTCCCCACGGCGCAGGGGGCCCGGTGCCGCCGGGCCAGGCCTCGTCGGCCCATGCGGGGTCTGCTCCCGGGCGGCGCCGAGTGCGGGTCTCGATCTCAAGCGGAGGGCGGGCTTTTTCCCTGGCAGAACCTGGGGCTGTGTTCACGGGGGCCCTCCGGTGCAGTCCGCCCGGGCCGCCCGCAGGGCCTTGGGAGGGGGAGGGTTGCCGCGTGGGACCCGCGTTCAGCCCCTCGAACAGCTGTGGTACGGCGCGTCTACCCTTGACCTTGCTCGGGGCGTCCTGATGAAAGACACGTGGGGCCCGGCGGAGTGGGCCGGGCTGTCCCCGTGCTTCGTGCCCTGGGGCTGTAAAGATACAGTAACCCCGGATGGATACATGCAGACACTTCTGAGCAGCATTTTGCAACCTCAGGAATATTTTGACTTTCCGGGTCACTCCAGGAAGTCTGTCTTATGCCGCCTTCCTGTACCGCTGACTTGGTATTTAGGAGCGCATTTGGGATGGGTGTCCTCCTAGGCCCATTTTTGCGGTGAAACATTAACTCGTTTTCAACGACTGGGTGAGGTGGCCTTGGGGAAAGAGATAAGTGTTCTTTGCTATCGCGGCCTCCTGCTTCCACTTTGTGCTAGTAGCTGAAGTTAGGAAACGGTGGCAGGCCTTGGCTAGCGTAGGCTGGCCTCTCGTTTCTTGTTCCGGTGCGCAAGCGGTGCGTTGGTTCTGTAAGCACATGTTGGAGTGGTGCTAGTACTCACCTATTTTTACCCCCTTCCAGAAATGCTCCGATTACCTGCAGTCCTTCGTCAAGTGAGGCCAGTGTCCCGGGTACTGGCTCCTCACCTCACTCGGGCTTATGCCAAAGATGTAAAATTTGGCGCAGACGCCCGAGCCCTAATGCTTCAAGGCGTAGATCTTTTAGCCGATGCTGTAGCCGTAACTATGGGGCCAAAGGTATGAGTCTTTTTTTTACTGTGAGTATAGTCTTAGTTTTTTGAGGAGGGATACTGTGTAGCTGCAAAGTCACACCATACGACTGCTGGACATTACTTTGGTGTCAATTTTATCAGAAACCTAATTCACATTTAAAAAGTTCGAAATCATTGGGGTTTTTCCTCATTTGCTTTGATGTAATGCTCTTAAAGCTTAAACTCCTTCAGCCACGTTTTCAAAAACTGAAGTTGTACAGTGTCTGGTAATTTAGTGGTAACTTATAGATCAAGGTGGTTTCTACTTGAGTAAAATTTTGGATCATTTCCCATTAGTTCGTACTAAGTATAGAGGGAAGAGTAAAATTTTTCTTCCATAATACTTAACACTATGTGTTTCTGGATGCGAATTCTGTCCAGTGTTTTACTGTTCCTGTTATTCTGAAGCACATTAATAGTTTACAATCTTCACCATTGTGCAGAGATTGAGAAATAACGGCTATTTTGAGGAGGCTTTTGACCCTAGTGTGTGGTGGAGTCACTTTTCATTTCAGATCAAAGTGATCCCAAACTGTAAAACAGGAGTATTTGCATGCTTCCAGAACACAAGGTTTAACATTAAAAATCAGAAGTGTCCAGTACTCCTCATGCCATGTTTAATGTTACGTAAGCCTGGAAGGGCCAGATTGTTCATGGCCTTGATAAATTATTAAAGTGAATGCCATTAATTTCAAAGATATTAGGACTAACAGCAACTTAAGTATAAATGATATGATATTCTGGGATTTCATGATAGCCGACTAAATTAGTATTAACCTACTCTATTGTGGTAAGGTGATATATCGTTCACTTAGCATTTTTATCTCTTGGATGAATAAGATGTCATTTGTAAAGTAAGACTTGGATTTGCCCTTGAGATTCCTGTTGTAGGACTGAGAACATCTAATGTTGAGGCTTTCAAGTAACTGCCCTATTATGACTTCTCATTCTGTTTTAATCTAAATAGTCTGACTTAGAGTGTGTGTGCTTCTCTTCACAATTCTAGGGAAGAACGGTGATTATTGAGCAGAGTTGGGGAAGTCCTAAAGTAACAAAAGACGGTGTCACAGTTGCAAAATCAATTGACTTAAAGGATAAATACAAGAATATTGGGGCCAAACTTGTCCAAGATGTTGCCAATAACACAAATGAAGAGGCCGGCGATGGTACCACCACGGCCACTGTACTGGCACGCTCAATCGCCAAGGAAGGCTTTGAGAAGATTAGCAAAGGTGCTAATCCAGTGGAAATCAGAAGAGGTATGAATGTCTTTATCATCAATCCAAACCCAACTTGCATTGGAGTTAATTCAGACTCATAGTGGCCCTTTATAGCATAGGCTCCCAACCTTATTTGACCTACCATCCCCTTTTTAGAAAAATAGTACCCAGTACCCCCCTCAAAAACCAATGTATTACAACCTGTAATCCAGGATAAAGTGTAGGTGGGTATCTGCTTTTGCAAGGGCCTCCCCTGCCCCCTCATCATTCCTGTGCCCTCCAAAGGTGATTATCACCCGTTTTGGGAAACACTGCTATGTAGGGTTTCTCAGACTAAATTATTTACAGAGGCAGACCAGCCAAGTCTTCCTCCTGTGGAATAGCTGGTGGTTCTGAACCTTCCCATTAGCAGCCCAGTATTCATAATATGCACTGATGCTCTGGGCTAAGGAGAAAATGAGATTTAAGTTGGTTGCTTATTTAAAGAAAAAAAAAAATCCTAAACTTGGTGATGTGGCATGATAGTCCATACTCCCACTACTGTACTTGAGGGTTTTCTCCTGAATTCCGTGTTTCGAGAGCTCTTACCTGTACCAGTGTGTGTACTCCAGTCTAGCCAGATTTGTAAGGTAGAACTGGGTCATGGTAATGGTGGGTAGGAAGCATTCAGGAACTAAAGGAATGATGTGTGCTTCGTCGGTGTTATACTGCACCCTGGTTGACTCGTCCCTGGTAACCTTTCTGTGGAGGATGTCCAGTTGTCCATTCAGATGGGCTTTGAGTCTCCACTCCAACCCCCCTCATTCACATCGATATCACATTTATTAAACCAGGTGTGATGTTAGCTGTTGATGCTGTAATTGCTGAGCTTAAGAAGCAATCTAAACCTGTGACAACACCTGAAGAAATTGCTCAGGTAAGAGTTTTTCATGATAGGTTAAAATGAGCTATAATTCTTTATAACACATGATTTTATTTTATAATTATACACCACTTGCAGAAAAAAGCAACACTATCACAATTGCCAACATTTGAAGTGTTTTTTTCTTACTGCTGAAAAGGGTTTTAAAACCTTTTTGTTTATGGTAAATATCCATGTAAGGAAACATTTTGTTTCACTGAGCTGTTCTTTTGTAAAGCTAAGTGACACCGATGTGTTCATTATGTTCTACCATTACTCTAATCCATTCCAGTGGTTTTCTTTTTTTTTCTTTTTTCGCAGTAAGTACCTTAGGGCCCATCAGTAATACCGTATATACTCGGGTATAAGCCAACTTGAATATCAGCTGTGGCACCTAATTTTACCACAAAAAATTAATTTTAAAAATGTGCTGGAAAAACTCGGGGTAAACATGAGTACATACAGTGAGTTCTTTCTCTTCCTTCCTGCCCACCCTCCTCTCACTCCAAACTCACTGCCATCAAGTCCCTTTCATCTTACTGGTAACCCCATAGCATAGGGTAGAGCTATCTCCCTAGGGTCTCCGAGGCTTTAAGTCTTTACAGGAGTAGGCAGTATCTTTTTCCTGCAGAGCAGCTGGTGGGTTTGAACCACAGACCTGTGTTGAGCAGCTCAGTGCATTAGGCACTATGCCAGCAGTGTTCCTTTGCCCACCCTTGGTACCCACTAATAAAAACTTTGGTCTATATATACATGCTTAGTCTAGATAGTTCATGTAAGTGGCTGACTTCAGCATGTTTTCACAGTTCATTGATCCAGTAGTATGTATCAGGTCTTCATTTCTCATGGCTGAGTAATACATAGTTGTATGTATGAACCATATTTTGTTAGTCCATGCATCTGATTTTGGACATACAGGCTGTTTGTAACTTCACTATGTGCTATAATGGACAGTTGCGTATATTTGTATGTTAATGGCCTACTTTAGTTTTCTATGACTAAAATTGATTTGTATGTATGTAAATACATTGTTGACGGTACAGTTTTCAGCATTTTGTAAGGTTGCTGTGTTTGTTAGAAAAAGCCATCATTTGTTATTAAAAGGATAATTCCTATCCTTCAAAATGAAATAGCCAAATAATGATAGTAACTACTTCATTAGAACTCATACCTTTTTTGGGAGGGAGTGTTGCAGGAGTGTCAAATAGGAATGGTTAGTTTAGGTTGTTTTGTTTTTAATTTGCAAAAATAACTTTATTTCAGGTAGCTACAATTTCTGCAAATGGAGACAAAGAAATTGGCACCATCATTTCTGATGCAATGAAAAAGGTTGGAAGAAAGGGTGTCATCACTGTAAAGGTATTTTTTTAATATTGGCTTAAGATAAGTGATCTAAATTGAGTCTTCCAAATAGAGAACTTCAATCTATGTATATTTAAAATTGGGTATTTAATTCTCCTCCTCCATGTGTAGTCTTAGTATGATACTGTTTTCTAGCCATGGAGAAATTCAAATGTACATTTAAAAAATCTTTACTGGAGTAAAGTTAAATGTTCCAAGGCATTTATATGCTCTTCAATTCCTTATGATTAACAGAATCTCATAATCAGGTCTGTGCTTACAGGTTTTGTTTATTTGGTGAAGTTTATACACCTAATTTTACTTTTCATAGGATGGAAAAACATTGAATGATGAATTAGAAATTATTGAAGGAATGAAGTTTGACCGAGGTTATATTTCTCCATATTTTATTAATACAGCCAAAGGTAAGAGCAAGACAGTATTTTAAATGTTAAAATGTTTTTATTGTGTTAAATAATGTGTCAAACTGTAGGTATTGGTTTTTATACCTCTAAGAAAGAAATGTGTACATGAAAAATGGAAGAAAAAACAAAAACTCAATATCATTGAGTGGATGCCAACTTATAACAACCCTATAGGGTAGAATTGCCCCCATGAATTTCCAAGACCATAGTTCTTTATGTGAATAGAAAGCCCTAGCTTTCTCCCCAGGAGCTAGCCGGTTTGAACAGACTTTAAAGTTAGCAGCCCAATGCGTAACTCCATCATTAAAATTCCTGGAAAAATGGAAGAGAAGCAATATAATTCAACCAGCCACTTTTGAGTAAGGAAATGATTGGGTCTTTGTAAAAAGAAAGAAACATACAATTTTGACAACATCTAGAAATCCATTCACAGAACAGATACTTTGTGAGTTTATAGTAGAGCATTCACTGGACAGATTTGTTTATAGCCATTCCTCCCAAGTTATAGAAACTAGTTTATACTTTGTCTATTTAAATAAATTGCAGTAGATTTCAGAATGGTATTAAAATTTGTTTATTTTAAAGATCATTTTATTGGAGGCTCTTACAGAGCTCTTAACAATCCATACATCATTTATATCAAGCATATTTGTACATAGGTTGCCAAAAGTTCATTTTTTAACTTTGGTTTGAAATCTTCTTGCGTAGGTCAAAAATGCGAGTTCCAGGATGCCTATGTTCTATTAAGTGAAAAGAAAATTTCTAGCATTCAGTCCATTGTACCTGCTCTTGAAATTGCCAATGCTCACCGTAAGCCTTTGGTCATAATTGCTGAAGATGTTGATGGAGAAGCTCTAAGCACCCTCGTTTTGAATAGGTAATAGGTGGTAGTATTTGATTGTTTTATACTACTAGATGAGAGAATGGCTTGCATTATTTGAAACCTTTTTATTATGTATCTAGAGTTGTAGTATATAATACAAATGGGCTGTATAAATCATCAGACCACTTAAAATTTTCAGGGGTTTTATGTTTTTATAGAGCCCCAAATCTTTATTATTTTGTACATGTTTCTTAGGAGAGCCAAGCTTATCACTGTAGACTATCAGTTGCTGTCAGCTGATTCTGACCCTTGCTCCCCATCAGTAGAGCTGTCCCATAGTTTTCAGTAGCTACTTTTTTTAACTCTACCACCAGACCATTAGCAGCCCAGTGAACTGTATAGTGTCTGTATCCCATCCCCCACTATGTGTGTGTGTGTGTGTGTTTGAAGTGGTGCTAAAAAATACGTATGTGATTGGTTTCATTTTAATTTTTTTCTGGGTAAAAATATTTTCAGAGTTGTAATTTTGCCTGAAATGTAAGCAATGACCATTCTGAAACCTACCACATATACTCGAGTATAAGCTGATCCAGCATATCAGCCAAGGCACCTAATTTTGTCACAAAAACTGCATTAAAAATGTGCTGGAAAACTCAGCTTATAGACGAATATATGTGGTAAGTTCAAGTGGCATTCATGAATGTTGCATACTGATAATCATGAGGGTGGTGGAAACACAGGGTCAGAATCAACTCTGTGGGAAGTGGTTTGTTAGCAATGAAGTATTTTAATGTTTTACCCAGTATATTTACATTAGTGATGGAACAGCTGTGACTTTAAGGTAGCTAGTGTTCATTACATTTGGGGCACTCACATAATATATCCTCTTATTTTGTTTTCAGGAGTGAGCCGTACATATTTTACTGGAATTATATGTTAGAGATTGAATGCCCTCTTCTGCCCCAAAACCTGTAAAATGAATTTGCTTTCTCATAGAATGTTCTTGTGAGTGTGGATTTGCTTTGAATTAGAAAAGCCTTACAAATGCCAGACATTTGGAGCCAGATTTAAGTCGTAGATCGGTGCAGCCTGCATTGAACAGTTTAACCATTTGTTCTAAAGTTGGTGTCCAGTATACCTTTGTTAAAAGACCCAACTTTTGAGTAGTTTGTACTTCCATGTTTACTATCCAGTATTAAACTCTATTAATAAACATTATTGTATCCTGGATTCAGCTGTTCAACTGGATTGTAAGGTTATGTAGTAAGCTATACAGATATTAGCACATATAAATAAGTGGATGGAAAACAATTCTCATAATGTGTCAAACTGTAGGTATTGGTTGTAGTCCGCTTGGCCTGCTTAATTTGACTTGGAGGTCACTGGGAAGCAAAAGAACAGGGTTCATAGGTGTCAAAATAATATCGGAACTTGGAGGGAAATGCGAAACTTTTAAAAAAGTTTTTTTTTAACCTTCACAATCTACTATTCTCAACAGGCTAAAAGTTGGTCTTCAGGTTGTAGCAGTCAAAGCTCCAGGTTTTGGCGATAATAGAAAGAACCAGCTTAAGGACATGGCGATTGCTACTGGTGGTGCAGTAAGTAAAATAAATATTGTGAATTTGTTTCCTGAGTAAAATTTTATTTCCAGATCTAACATTTTTGGCTAATTTGCATTTTTAAATGAAATAATATCATTTGAGCTGTTTAATCCACTTCTCTTGGACTTTTGTGAGGTGGAAGCTAAATTAAATAATGCTAAGATGCCTTTGACCTATTTGCCAGTAGTGTAACCCAGTGGTTCTCAACTTTCCTAATGCCGTGACCCTTTAATACAGTTCATGTTATGGTGACCCCCCAACCATAGTTATTTTTGTTGCTACTCCATAACTAATTTTGCTACAGTTAGGAATTGGGCAACCCTTGTGAAAGGGTCAGGGGTTGTGACCCACAGGTTAAGAAAGACACAAGACTAACAGGATGAAGAGATGACCTTGTTTTTGACTCTTCCTCTAGGTATTTGGAGAAGAGGGATTGACCTTGAATCTTGAAGACGTTCAGCCTCATGACTTAGGAAAAGTTGGAGAGGTCATTGTGACCAAAGATGATGCCATGCTCTTGAAAGGAAAAGGTGACAAAGCTCACATTGAAAAGCGTATTCAAGAAATCATTGAGCAGTTGGACATCACAACTAGTGAATATGAAAAGGAAAAACTGAATGAACGTCTGGCAAAACTTTCAGATGGAGTAGCTGTGCTAAAGGTAAAGTGCACTGGGAATGGTTGCTTGTGCTCTAAGCCCAAGAATTATTTTGTTTCCCAGTAGTACTGTGTCCCTAGACTAGTGTCTGAGGAATTAGTCTCCTTGTAGAGCTATTTTTCACACAGAATGTATTCCTTTGCTGAGTCATTCCTTTTTGTTTTAAAGCACAATTGAACTGTTGAGTTAGGTAGGTTTTTTCCCATAGTTTTGTTCCACATTCTGCCCTTGGTGGAACTTTCCAGTCGCTCTCTTAGCCACTAATCATCAGGCAGTCACTTAGAACAAACATTTCTGACAGTTTTTTATATTGCTACTCTTAAGTTAACAAGATGCTTTTTTGGACTTTTTGGGCAGCATCTTGGATCTTTTTTTTTTTTCCTCATGCCAAAGAATTGCAAAATTTATTGTATAAGTATTGTAGCTTTCCATCACGACCTTGCCTTGAAGGCTTTACTGATACAACAAGCGGTTTCATCAGATCTGCGATCAGCCTCCAATTACAGTCTTGAGGAGCCGCCATGCGGGGGCTGTACCCAGGGCGCTGCCGGGCGGGAAGCATCTTGGATCTTAAGAGGCTATACTAACTGAAGTTCTTTTTTAATCTTTAGGTTGGTGGGACAAGTGATGTGGAAGTGAATGAGAAGAAAGACAGAGTTACTGATGCCCTCAATGCAACACGAGCTGCTGTTGAAGAAGGCATTGTTCTTGGAGGTGGCTGTGCTCTGCTTCGGTGCATTCCGGCCCTGAACTCATTAACTCCAGCAAATGAAGATCAAAAAATTGGTAAGACACTACTTTACAAATCAATGTACTGAAAATTTTTTCTGCTTACTAATGGAACACACACCCATCTCCAGAATTACAAAAGTGGACTAACAATAATGAAGCATCAGGTTTCAAGAAGAATGGCACTAAGGGATTTTTTTCCTAGTTCAGATTTTCCTGTGCAAGTAGAAATGTAATACTTAGAAAGCTAGTGTTAGAACTGATTATGATGATGTATATTCTACTTTTTAAATATGATTTAACCATGGAAGTTTATGATACGTGAATATTAGAAAATACATTAATGAGTACAAGAAGAGGAAAATGTTCTAGAGCTGATTATGGTAATAATTATACAACCCTCCTTGATATAATTAAACTATAGAATTGTACGATGTGTGGATGAAGTGCCGATTAAAAAAAGAGAAAACACTAACGGGCTAAAATTGATTATTTTTTTTTTAGGTATTGAGATTATTAAAAGAACACTCAAAATTCCTGCAATGACCATTGCTAAGAATGCAGGTGTTGAAGGATCATTGATAGTTGAGAAAATCATGCAGAGTTCCTCAGAAGTTGGTTATGATGCTATGATCGGAGAATTTGTGAATATGGTAGAAAAAGGAATCATTGATCCAACCAAGGTAAATAGTTTAACATACCCTAAATATTCTCACAACAGTAAAAGTCAAAGTCATGAATTCTTCATTCTTATTCCAATTTCTTGAGAGAAAAGTAACATCTCATCCAACATGTTTCCCTAGGTGGTAAGAACTGCGTTGTTGGACGCTGCTGGAGTGGCCTCTCTGCTGACCACAGCAGAAGTTGTAGTCACAGAAATTCCTAAAGAAGAGAAGGACCCTGGCATGGGTGGGATGGGTGGAATGGGCGGGGGCATGGGAGGCATGGGAGGCGGCATGTTCTAATTGTTACACTAGTGCTTTGCCATTTTGAACTGTGACAAGGAAGCTCCAGGCAGTATTCCTCACCCAAACCCTCAGAGAAGTCAGTTCAGGAGAAGAAAACGAAGAAAAGGCTGGCTGTTGTTTTGAGAAAATCCCTATCACCATCAGTTACTGGTTTCAGTTGACAATGTAGAGTGGTTTACTGCTGTCATGTCCATGCCTATAGATAATTTATTTTGTACTTTTGAATAAAAAGACATTTGTACATTCCTGATACTGGGTGTAAGAGCCATTACCAATGTACTGCTTTCAACTGAAATCACTGAGGCATTTTTACTAATATTCTGTTAAAATCAGGATTTTAGTGCTTGCCATCATTAGATGAGAAGTTAAGCAGCCTTTCTGTGGAAGAATAATTGTGTACAAAGTAGAGAAATACTCAATTATGTGACAACTTTTCTGTAATAAAACCTTGTTTAAAGTCGTGTTAATTTTTCCATAAGATATCAAATAAATGAAGGCTGAAGGGGCCGGGGTTTGGGCACGTTTGTACAACATTCTACCCACAGTATTTCATGGTTCTTCATTTGTAATAAGGGACAAAGCATAAATATTAGTGAATCTTAATGGGAATAATAAATGACAACTGGTTATAAGGAAGAGGGCAGTCTTGTGTAGGCTGTGTTTACTGCTCCCAGACCCAGCCTACGATGCATAGTTTACTGTTCTACAGTCTAGTGGCTTCCCTTTTGGAACAAACCGAGTTCCGTGTACTTGAAGTTTTATAGTTTGGAAGTTTGACTAAAATTAGCTGGGTGTACATGCTGGGGCTGATAGTGATTTGTGAGATGCAAAGGGGCAGAATCTTTACACAAGTTTATTTTCACCTGTTCAAAGACTTCATCTATTACTGGTTCTATAACCTGGACCTGCTATAGGTGAGAAGCTCTCCTCAATGTGAGGCTGCTGCTGAGGTTTGGTGAGCCAGGTGCTGAATGAAGCAAGTAATGACCATTGTAGAGGAAGTTCCATTACGTAGCAAAACCATAAATGTGCGCCTAGTGTGTGTTTTTCCTTTAATATTCTGCTTGGGGCAAACTATTCTGCGAAAGCACCTATCTCAAAGTGGGAAGATAGTTTGAATTGTGCAAAGGTACAATAAGTGCCAGACACATCTACATGTGTTTACAAGGACCCCTTGATCAGAGCACAGCACCGTGACTAGAAATCAAGCTTAAGGGCAGTAGGGTAGAGGGGCCAATAATTATTAAAGGAAAATTCAGTTTTGCCCCGATTTGTCTAATTCTTTTACTATGAAATATATTACATATGTAAAGGTATATAGTTACTCATTTAATGTTTAAGTTTTTCAAATAACTACAAAAAAGTAAACAAATTAGCTTTATTAAGTTATTGTCAGTCCTTACACTGATTTGTCTAAAAAAAAAGTGGAATACATTATTGAAAGTGAGTACACAATAAATAGTAAATTAGCAACAGTACTGGAGACAACTATTTGAAGTATTGTTGGTAGAGCAGCCAAAGGACTTGAGAGGGCTGCACACTACTGAAAAAGTAGCTTAAATGGGCCCTTACCAAGAAAAGTACTCCAGGCACTAACCTCACTAGAGCTGTTTGCTGCCTCCCCTAAGACCAACGTAAAAATACCCAGTGTTCAGTAACCTTCATTAACTTTTTCAGTTGAAATTTTACTTTAAATATCTGTTGATTATTCAAATATCCTAAGGCCACCATAACACAGGTTCCATAATAAGTTACAAATACTCTGAATTTAATAACTTAAGTGTGTTAATGGTTAATGTAAGCCATTTGGCATGAGTATTTCACCTAACTTGAAGGTAGGTGATCATTAAAAGGCTTCAGTTTGCAGTTCATTGCCTGCTCAGACAAGTGATGTCAGTATTCCAGAAAGAGTGCTGACATCTGTGTATTGTAAATGGAGAACATGCTAATGTACATAATACTTGGAATTATACTTGATTGAAGAAATAATTCTATGTGCACGTTGTCCTATATTCTGTGCAAAATTTCAATAGTGCAGGTTTATAATCAAGGTTGGATTTAACACAAGCTTTCTGACTTCTGAAAGCATATGATGAAAGCACTTCCAAAAGTTAACAAGTTATAAATAGCACCAGTTCTGTTCCTTTTACGTGTGATGAACTTCGTGAAGCATTAGTTCCCGAGGTATACTGGTTTCTGGACCATAGAGCTTACATGCTCTCCTTTCAAACGCAGCTACCATCTGCTTGACAACTTCATCGAAAAAGAGCGTGGCAAGCTGAGAGTGTAGAAGTGAGCGAAATTCAAATGAAATCTGTAGGAAAACAAATTATTTTAGGAAAAGTGATACTCACCCTCTAAATTGGGATGGTTGGTCAGTATTTTAACGAGCTGTTGCCGGTACATCTAGGTGAGGGTTTCTTATAAAGTGCAGTGCAGAAAAAGTACTCAATGCCAGAAATGTGAGATGTTTTAAAGTGCTTCCGTAATCTCTATGCACATAAAATTAATCATGGCATTTGGGTTCTACTAAGTGGACTATCCTTTCTCCACTGGATATGTAGAACAAATCAAGGGCTTTATTAGAGACTTACTGAAAAATCCAAGGTACAAGTTCTTGGGTAGCCAGGAAGACCTGGGCTAAAACGCCAAATAGTCTCCAAATGCTTAAAAAGTTTCCCATCTGTACAGGATGCCTAGAATACAAAAGTATAATCATAGTAAAATACCACATAGTATTGGCTAGAATCTATCATGATTGATAAGTACACAATTTTACGGTCCATGTGGAAGCCCTATTTTTAAATTTGGCATTAGGTAATCTCTTGCCAAGATAAGTCTTTTTCTTCTGGAGTCCCCAAGATTACATTTGTTCTCTCTTCCACTTTAACCACCTATTTAATCTCATTCAGGGACTAAACTGGGAGGGATTTTTCTTGCATCTTCTTGTTGTTTAAAAGTCTTCCTGCTCTGCTAGTTTCAATTTGATCCTGAACCATATTTCCTTAATCTGTAAATAGCATCTATGTTATACCATCACTGGGAGATGACCAAAACATTTGTAAAACACTTGGCACATGTCCCTAGGATAATTAGACAATCCTCCCTTGTATATACAAAGATTTTCTCATATCACAGTTGTTCCTGCAGTTTATTCTCATAAGCCTCTATGGCTCTAGTTTTCTTGAAAGTCTGGACTAGTCCTGGTTTGGACCCATTTACGTATTTCTAATCTACTTATTGCTAATGGATGTTTTATACACAAATAGGCATCAAGAGGTACACGGAAAAGTTCTATGAACTTTTTGAAGCCCCCTTTTATATGTGGGTACACTAAGACACAAAAGTCATACTATGCACGGTGCATTTTGGTATTTCCCATTTTATATCACTAGATAAAAAATACTGAGACCCACTCAAGTGCTATCACTTAGTCTGAAAAACAGTGGTCAGAACCACATTCACTATTACTCTGCTAGGACTGAGAGTGAAGTCAAACTCTTTTACCTACCAATACCCACGATGCTTTCTGGGCCTTATTACACATGACCTCAAGGATTTCTATCAGCACCTCTCAAAGGCAGGATAATTTTAAAATTCCTGCTTCAGAATTTACAGCCCCTACCAAATTAAGTCGTAAAAATTTTTTTTAGCTCTTTTGGCATACCCTGAGGCTAATAAATGATCAAGCCTGCCTCTCACCCTTTTCTCTATAAATTAGCCTTAAATTCAGATTGCTTCTCCCCTAAGGCTATGTTCCCTATAGGTATAAATTAGCAAAGTAATGACTTGTATTGAGTAAACTATTTGTCTTTTTTTGGGGGTTGGGGGAGAGGAGAAGAGAGGGAAAGTAGAGAGGAGGGTAGAAGAGAAGGGGAGGGCGGGAGAGGAGAGGAGAGGGGGAGTTGAGGGAGAGGAGAGGAGAGGAGAGGGAGAAGAAAGGAGAGGAGAAGAGGGAAAGTAGGAGAGCGAGAGGGAGAGATGAGGAGAGGCGGGGGAGAGGAGTAAACTATTTGCCCCACAAAGTAAAGTTATTTTTTCTTCCAAGGCTAGAACCTCAGCTAGGATCATTTCTCCTCAATTCTAGATCTTGCCACAGACAAATCAAAACGAAGTCAAAGAACTAAAAATCCATCCATAGCTTTGTTCCTAATTTCCTCTATTAGCTAAATCCTTTTGAATAAATTATGGCTGGGCACTATGAAGAATCACCCCTCATCTGTCAGTTTGTCCTACTATAGTGCTTTGTGTGTTGCTTTGATGCTAGAGGACATGGTACTGGCATTTTGTGCCAATAAAGTCAGTCACCCAAGGTGGACAGGATACAGGGGGCTTCTGACACAGAATACGAAGTAAGGCCTGGTGGTCTGTATCTGAAAATTAACCAATGGAAACCCTACTGATCACAACCGATGGTCTGAGACAGTGATGGAAGATGAGCCCCCAGGTTGGAAGGTATGACATACAGCCACAAGAATACATTAAGCATGCCACCAGTCATGAAGGTGGTTTAGGACGGTCAGCAAACAGTACATATTACACTGTACACAGGATCACCATGAATTGGAGCCAACTCAGTGACGCCTGAACAACATTATACAGAAGATCAGTTGATCCAAACTAGAAAGGCTTGTAAAGCAATGCTGGACTCAGATAAGTTTATAGTTAAAAATTTTAGGTTTCTGATCAAGGGCTCATGAGGGAGGGGGGAGCGGGGAGGG